CATATTTTCAAGTTTCAAGAGGCCGAAATCCTCGCAAGGGGTGACAACCGCGTGAGCCGCGAGCAGCTCGAGTCATGGTTCTTAGGCCCGCAATCCATCAACAAGTGCAATGCCAGTCAGTTCAAAATGCTCTTTATTTGCAGTTATCTCATCTTCCTAAACTCAGTCGCTGATGAGGCTAATAGTGGCACAATGAGCAACAGAGTTCCTTGCCCCTGTCACGTGGAGAAAGCGAGTAATGATCCCAGTGACAGTGGGCCAGATTGCCCAGCAATCTTCAGGCCAGCATCCAAAAAATGATGAAATCGCGAATATTAACGACTCGGACGCGGACTGACAAGCCATCATTGCATCACCTACCACCCCCCGGCGGTGATTGTAAATTACAGTACGCATGTGGTGCCACGGCAGCCGCGTGCTATAAATACTGCACTCCTTGTGCCACCATTACCCTTATCTGCGAATGTCTCTGATGGTAAGTGTTCGAGTGAGAATCCGAAACGTCTGGCTAATAAATTTCTTGTTCCAGTGATCGCATCTTCGTCTTCAGAACTCCTTCCTGGAACCCGCCTGTCCGCTTCTATCAGAGATTCCTCCACTGTCCGCCGGGCCTACGACTACTGGGGCTTCTTTCATGCAGCGGGGGGTGGCAACGAACGATTAGTGACAGTCAGAGGTTTAACAGGGGACACGGGAAGCCTGCGGTGGCTAGTTTTTTCTTCATTTCCCATCTTCAGCAGGCCATACCGGAGTTCGGATCCTTTAAGCAGGACTGCATTCTTTTCCCCGCTGTCAATCAGGCCAGCCCCAAGTTATCGTAAGTCGTAACACGACAGTCCAACAGCCACAAGGGACATCAACCGCGTGTTTCACGGAGGACACGAAGCACCGGTGATAGCAGACTTTTGCAGCACCTATCGCACTTTCTCCACCCTAGGCACCTGACCCCAGTGGCAAGACAATGTCAAAACGACCGGAGGTGGGCTTGATCGCAGTTAAGCAACTCATCGACGCCTGCCACACCGTAAATATACCCAGCAGTGAACGATAATTTCGCCAACCCGTCAAGCGACTAAGAAGACGGGACCGGTCATGTTTCTTTGTCAGCATGACCCCACAGTTGCCTTGTCAGGGCTGAAAATCCGCTCTGATATAGTACACTCGATCTCTGCTATTCTAGTCGAGAAGCCACTTGCCCTTCCTTTCGGTTCATTTGCTCCTGCTTAAAACTCCCACACTCGATCTCTGCTATTCTAGTCGAGAAGCCACTTGCCCTTCCTTTCGGTTCATTTGCTCCTGCTTAAAACTCCCACAACCACGAGGGCTTTAAATGTTTTCTAAAGCGCTTTTTCTTCCCCCCCCCCGCCTCCACCGCGGTTCTGCCTCCAGCTCTCCGCCACCCTTCATGTTTGCCGATTCAGTGAAAGAGTTGGCCTACCTTTCACGCCAGTTAGCGGTTCTGCGGGCAGATCAGCTATGGCGCCTAGCCTGCTGGTTGAGCCCCTTTGGTCTCTCCGAACGGGAGACGACTTCGGTCATGGCTGCCGCCGCCGCCAGCGCCTCCTCCCGGTGCAATGGGCGCGGCTCCAAGGTAGCCCCCAGCGCTGCAAAACTATCCCCCAACTCTGGAGCCGATCCTACTACTGATGCGGACGGCGGACGTGTGAAGACACAGAGCAGGCAGGTTGGTGGAGTCAGGCCAATCCTGTGGAACACTCTGGGACTGCACACCATCTACAAATGCATCTCCTCTGTAGCTGGCCTCTTCTCCACCAACTACCCTACTGAATATCGTGACATCCTTCAGGTACTTTGCCAGCTTGTTTTTTTTTCTTCTCTTAGGCTTCTCCCACAGTTTTCTCGCCAGTGTGATGAGGTGCGACGTAAACTCTCGAGCACACTGACCACTTTTTTGCAGGCTAAAATCTCGCAGAAACCGTAAATTTGTTTTTTAGTAAGACCTGGTGGATTTGTTTTCGCTCAGCTATACAACCACATGAAAAAAATCTGACTGACACCAACTATGTAAATGGAAATGTGAGTGTGGTAGTGCTGGCTTGTTGAAGTACCTGTTTTTTTGGGGGCACACCTAGGCACAGAAGGCTTATGCCACGTAATCTGACACGGCATGGGAGCGTGAGAAAAAGGGTACCTGGCTCACCACCGCTAATGCGTCATGTCTCCTGCTAGCATTTTCAACGTCCGCTTGATGATGTGATGCGCAGCTTCTGTTAATTTACTGTGCAATCTTTTAGGAAGTTGATGTCGGCGTTTAGCTTAAGTTGCTGCACATTGTGTGATCCGGATCATCTCTTGCTGTTTATAGGGGTCTAATCAGGTACTTGACACTCCTATCAGCCAGGAGAGCCTAATAGTTCGCCAGTCGAACGCGGCGACGTTTACTACACGCCTCTCGGGTTGTGAACAGTATTCATCCTACTGTCTCCCGCTGTACTGGCCTTGGTCCAATGACAAGGCGATATCGAGACGACCGGGGGTTGGCAGGCGTACGGTGACTGATAGAGCTCACTAACCCGTCTACGTGTGTTGCAAACGAACCGATTCGCTCAAAGTTTGCCGGGCTACGACAAGGTCGACTCAGATGTCTCACATCCGTAGTAATACTATATAAAGGCCTCATTAGGGCAGAACCATTGAAGCTTTATTCTCAGTCCGCCAACCACTTCGCAGCAGTTGGCAGTCAGCCAAGCCATGACTCTTAATGCGTCGTGATAGATTCAGTCGTTTATAATTTATTATACTGAGGGATGCGTCAATTTACCGCGTGAATGCATTCCGGGCGTCTGCCTCATTCTTTGTGGCCCAAGTCGCGTCGATCACCGTGGGTGCCCAACTGGTGTCCATCTGTTCCAGCCCGCGGCTCAGTGGCTAGAAACGTTGGACTTCTAACTAACAGGTCGCGGGATCGAGCCCCAGGTGTTCCACACTTCGGGCTTGGGTATGGCTGGCTGACGACGGCTAATAAGCCAGAACTGGCCATTCCAGTGTTCGTTATCTTTGTCGGTAATAGCATTCTGTATATGTCATGCGCCGTTGTGCGGCTGCTGGTTGGGCTCGAGAGAGAGAAAAAGAGCCCTTAAGGCACAAAGTGACGAGTGCGTTTTGGTGAGCGCTCCTCTACCGTTGCATTTTCCATCTGTCTTATACACTCACTCTTCCCAGTCTGCGGACTTCCCGTGCAATCTTCACGTCACAGTGATCGATCAGGATTGACAACTACTCAACTCCAATTTGATTACCACTGCTTGTGATCCTGCTTCCGTGCAGGTTTCTTAAACTGTGCCCACTTCCGCTGCCCTTTGCAGTTGGCTATTGAAATGAACGACAATGAAGAGGATGGGAGATCCTCTGCCGACAACACGAGCACCTGCACACCTCCTGCCACACCAGTCCGTCTGCAGCCCCTCTCTCCGATTGCACTGATTGAGTCCAGTACTGGTAGCACCACTGGCAGCCCCGACTCCTCTGCCTCGCTGCTCGAGGAGCCTGAAGCCCGCCTTGGATTCATCAAGGGCATTGACCTGCGCCAGCTGTTTGACTGGAATGAGGTCCTCTTCAGTCCCGATCGACCCTGCTGCCGTCTGCTTTTTGAGCCCTGTGGCCAGCCTCAACAACCGGACTCGTCTCCTCTGCCGGCGCTGTCGGAAAAGCTGCCATCACGGGAAATCAGCCGACCGTCCTTGAAGTATTCGGCCGAGGCCGCCGCCGCCTCTGTGGTCAACAAGCTCTCCCTTGAAGCCTTATTTCCCACGCACATTGAAGAGATGGGTCTAGATGTGGTGGCCTCTCTGCTGACAGATGGATCAGTGGACAGTGCCACGACCAATCAAGTCGAGGAGGAGGAGGAAGAGCACCCTCTCGACTCTTCCGTGTCTTCCAAGAGCACTAAAAGTCTAGAATTGAGTAAGTTCCATTGTCTTCTCTGCCATCACCTACTCGGTTGTACTTTGGTTCAGCGATGATTTGCCCTTTGAGTTGAAAGGTTGAATCCCCAGTGTATAGATTATGCGTAATGTCTCTGAGCACAGGTGTTTTCTACTTTTCCCTTCTAGTGACCCTAGTTCAGACCAATGGGAGAGGGTGTTGAAGGAAGGGATATTGTCGTGGTGCACAACGGAACAAGTGAGTTCCGTAAGAACGATCGGTGAGCGCCCCATACCACTATATATTCCCGATCGAAACCGATAGGGCAACGGGTTCGTGGCCCAGTGTTTAGAGGCGTGGACCTCTAACTAACAGGTCGCGAGTTCGAGCCTCGGGTGTTGCACACTGCGGGGTTGGGTATGGCTGGCTGACGAAGGCTAATAAGCCAGAAATGGCCATTCCAGTCTCCCTTGCCCTTGTCGGTAATGCCATTTTGCCCATATAATGCGCCGCTGTGCGGCTGTCGGTGGGGCTCGAGAGGGAGCCCATAAGGCACAACGGAATGAGTGAGTTCCGTAAGAACAATCTGTGAACGTCCCCTACCATTGTATCCCTTCGTTCCACTAGCTCTCCATCGAATGCATAGCACCCAGTCACTTCCTTGACGCAATAAATTCCTGGATTTAGTTCCGGCCTATCATATCTAAGCTGACCTTACAGGCGCACGCCAGCTACCCACCTACCTGGCTAACACGCCCAATCTGGCCTCACATGATCGCCGCTTAGAGTGGGTAGGGTGTACCGCACCCAGCCACGTGGTCTACGCTGACCATCCAATCAATTCTCCAAGCAGACACCTGCAGGGTGTCACGTGAAACGCACATTTACCCGCTCGCATACTCGCATGTCGAGAGCGGAGACAGCAACAGCGTAAGCCAATTTGGTAGACGCCTCTGACTTCCGAGCGGACTATTCTGCTGATCTCGTTCCCACCCCCCCCCCTCCCCCGCCTTCTCTCACGGAGTGCGACTTGGTGCTGGTGGTTTTGGCGTCTCCAGTATGTCGGCAGTCGTAGGTAACGAGATCTTTCGCCGTCTGGCAGTTGCAGTGGTAACTTGCGCGCGGATTTGTTTATAGCTTAGTACACTTACATGTGTTTATCTCACTTCACTCGCCCACGCTCATGCGTTTCGACTGCAAGACAAAAACCGAAGATGTCCGTGGTCGCAATGATTGTCATGACCAGGTAACCCATCTGCGCGGGCCGAACACGACCTCGTTCCAAAGTCCTTACACGAGTTAAAGTACTATAGAAGCCGCATATAAAAAAGAACCTTTACAACCTGGCCCTTACGCTACAACTGTGAGCTCGTTGTGACGGCTAAAGGGCGAGCTGCTTAGATTGCTTTTATTGAGGAATTTAACAGCTGGATGAGAACTAGATTGGTCTCACTCCTCCCCCTTTCTAATGGCCCCTCCGATTCGAACCAAACATTGGGGTTGGAGTTGCACACAGACTGGAGGCAACCATCAGGCGTCAGTTAATGAAACCGAAAGACCCACTGCCACGGCAAGAAACGTCTGGAGTCGTTTATCGGATCTGGTGCAGTTGCGGACAAAGCAGCTACGTCGGAGAAACCGGAAGACGGCCCCGAACGCGAATGGCCGAAAACGCTGCACCGGTGCGGAGAAATGACGCTAGCTCTCAAACTGCGGCTCATTCAATGAGAGTCGGCCACACATTCAAATTCGACGAGGCCAAAATTCTCGCAAGAGGTGACAACCGCGTGAGCCGGGAGCTGCCAGAGTCATGGTTTACTGGCCCCCAGTCAATTAACAAGTTCAATGACCTTCTCATGCCATACTCGGTGCTGAGACTTCGCCTAGGCGGAGTAATTGGCCACGCGGGGAGCGCACAGGTGAACACTTCCCAACACCAGGGTCAGTGTGCCAGATGGTTGAGCAACCATCGCACCAACATCCAACACACGTGATGAAATTGCAGCAATTAACGGTGCGAATGTCGACCATCACACCACGTGCTGCGATCCCGGATGAAGGGAGGAGTCGTGAATATTCATAGGAATGCGCTAGCATGGCTACTGCATCCTATGCACCCCTTATGCATGAACCATCCGTATCTGCTTTGTCTCTGATGATGGGTTTGAGCTGGAATCCGAAACGTCAGGCTCATAAAGCTCTTGTCCCAGCGATCTTGTCTCCTTCTTCAAGACATTCCGAAATACCTTAAAGAGCTTTCCGCCGTTTTGATTCCCAGTGTTGTGGTCGACCGCTAAAAAAGCTCAAGACGTTGCAGAGTTATGTTTTCAGACCTGCCAATCCTCCTGTCCGGCGGATTTCTTAGACTGACAGGTGTACGCACGCCCAGATAGTCCCGGTTGCCCAACCTCACGTAACCTATGAGCTCCCTCCCACAAGCTCGTGAAGACGGCGGATCGCATAGGCATGACTTAAACAAGAGTTTTATTCTCCTCGCATTTCGGATTCAATTGAGCTTATATTTATGCGTAGCAACAGATATGGGCAGTGGACATTCAGGCAGTACAGTACCTCCTGCTGGGTACTACACAGTCAGACACTTGATAAGATTAACAGTCCCAGCATTCATCGCAGATATTTGTGAGTAGTGCAATGACAACTTGATCGCTCACATATGAATTACCAATGGCCGCGATTTCATCATCGACATTGGAGATTGGCCTGACAATTTCTCCGCAAGTTGACTCAGCAGTACCGTTTTTAGAAACGGAGTTCACCTACGCGACTACCTGCTCTGCCGAATACGGTGAGATAGGAAGGATCATTTAGCTGCCAGAGACTCGGGCGGGCGAACCATGACTCAGACTGATCTGTTCTTGTCTCCAATGCGCTCAAGGAGGAATCTGATTTACTGCCATCAGTACTCTCCTAGAACTGCCCAGCGGCCACTGCTCACGCCCCTGTACAGAATACACCCCACTTACGGTTTGCCCTTCATCTACTTCTGACCCAGCCTTGGGTTGGATTGCTGTGGGTAGGGGTGTTCTCACTACCTCAGCCTCTGTAATGTCGATACCAGTACGCTCATCTCCTAAGTGGTCATTTAGCATTGCAGACGATGCCAGATTTTCGGAGTCTGTCCCAGCTCTCTGTTTTAAAAGGCGCTAATCATCATGTCAGAACATTTGTCTCTGGGTTTCAGATGTAATTCTAGTCCGTCGATTATGATCAGTACACAGAATTTTCCAATAATGTTGACTTTTCGGATTTCTTTCTCTCCGTTGGACTGAACGCAAATTGACAAGTCACTGTTTATAGTGTCTGACACCCATCGTATTCGTAGATGCCGGCGGGAATCACATCTGTGCCCGGATTTGCCTACTTGACATTAACTACACTGTCGTGGCTGCATCCTGCTGGACTGAGGACGATAGATGGAAGCCTGTTGATCACCCCCTAAGGCAAATAAAAGTAGACAATCAAGGATGCTCTGGACTCACTCTTAGGGAGCCGGAATTTCTCGGACAGCAGCGTCTGAAGGTCTGAGCAGGTCTGAAGCCGCAATTTGTCGTCGTCGTCCGTAACGAGCCTTGGTGACCACAATGCATTTCTTCATTTTCTTTCGGGCTGCCTAGTCCTTGAATTTCTCTGCTTTTTTCTTCAACCAGAGGTCTTGAAGTTCCCTGATTGTCTGTTGCAATAATTCGCCGTACTGGGCTGAAACGACTTTCTTGAAAGTGATCTGTTGGTCTGTTAGGCGCCCTTACGTCTGTTCTTTTCAAGGGGTAGGCTCTAAGTCTCCGTCTCACTGTCCTCGTGCCCGTGGGCCCAGGGTCCCCCTCCCTTCTTGCCGTAGATCACGTCAGTGTACTGCAGTAGCATTCAACATCACCCTCTGTTATGGTTTTTTACAGCCCAGAATGTGACCGTTGTTTGGGGCCCGCCTTCGTCGACAAAGCCACCGTACAGCCTGCTTGGGACCTATTTCTCGAGGGCGCATCCGTAGAAATGGAAGTCCAATCTTTAGTAGGCTATGATCACTTAAGTATCTGGCCCCACACGCCGTCTCTGTCACCAACAGGTCTGGGCTCTATTATTCCCGCACGACAACGTACTTTAATACCTTCAAGTGACGCGGTGCATTCATGTTGTCTCCTTTCGGCCTTTTGGGGTGGTGGGTGGTGGTTTGTAATGCGGAGATCGTTCTCAGTAAAGGCCTCCAAGACTCCGTGATGGCTAAACATTCCTTCCCAGGTGATGCGAGGAGAATGTGGGGTTGACGTTGCACCACTTTTCCTCATTACCATTTGCTGCACTCCAGCCCTCTGGACCGTCGAAGTTGGTCTTAACGACTGCATCTGGTGGTGCACGAATTAGTACTTCATGCTTTTTTTAACCTGAACTTGACCTATTTACGAGCACGTTCGTGTTTGCATCTTGTTTATCTCTGTCATGACTTCAGGGCCGAACTGAGAATGCCAGCCTACGTCATGTCGGTCGCTCAGAAGTACAAAATCATAAACAGGGGTGGCAGTGAGCACGGTGTCGGTCGCTTTAGGGCGCTTATTCTTTGTTAGAGGTCATCCACCACGATAGCCAGTTGCGGGTAAAAGAAATTTTCAATGCCTTTCATTAAGCCTACACACCAGCCTCCCCGATGATGACGCATCCAGGACTGTGTGAGACATTTTGACAAAAAGGAAGGGCTTATCTGCAACTGTGAACGGTAAGTTAGGAGAAAATAACTACTTTTAGCCCACTTACAGTAGAGGTGCCAACTCATGAAATGTCAACCAAAATTTCGAAATGAGTTCTCGTTTCGAAAAGATAAATTAAGTAGTGTTGTAAAACTAATCATGATGCAGCATAAATCTATAATGATCCAGTTACCTCAGGGTGTCGGCTTTCGAAAGAACTTATTTTCGGCCGCATGCAAGATCTATACTCTGCAAAAAATGACTACTTAAGTAGCATGCAATTTTCTCATTGATTTTCGATGCCCTTGGAAATTCAATTATATTTCATGGAAAACGTGCATAAAAATATTCATTCTTTTACTTATTCGGTAGAAAATCACCTCTACTTCCAATTTCATGCTCAAAAGAAGAGTATAATTCGGTTTTAAAAAACTTTTCTAATTCCCGAATAATTTTGAACCGGACCTGCTGTTACACTTGCATTCAGAGCTTCAAAACTACAAGCTGTATATTTTCCGTGTACGGAAAACCATGCATTTCTCTACGGTGTTAAGAGGAGACCATATGAGGTTCATAAAATTAAGCAGTGGATTTGAGCAATATTGTTAACTTTACAGTGCAGAACCATGACGTTTCATGAACGGCCATTTAACGGTATTAAAAAATCTCACAATTAGAAACTTTTTTAAAACCGAATTATACTCCACTTTTGAGTATGAAATTGGAAGAAGGCGTGATTTTTTACCGAATAAGTAAAAGAATGAATATTTTTATGCATGTTTTCCATGAAATATAATCGAAGTTTCAAGGGCATCGAAAATCAATGAGAAAATTGCATACTACTTAAGTAGTCATTTTTTGCAGAGTATAGATCTTGCATGCAGCCGAAAATAAGTTCTTTCGAAAGCCGACACCCTGAGGTAACTGGATCATTATAGATTTATGCTGCATCACGATTCGTTTTACAACCTTACTTAGCTTATCTTTTCGAAACGAGAACGCATTTCGAAATTTTTGTTGACATTTCATGAGCTAGGACATCTACTGTAAGTTTATTCTTTCAGAGGGTAGGTTTATCAAGTTGGCCGCACAATATCAGGTCAGGAACGACTGTTCATGTGGCAGGCTTCAGTATTTGTCATGTTTTGTGGTGTCTCTCTTGCCGGCTGTGAAGCTGCCAAGGTAAATCCAAACGCGGACCGCGTGCACTTGACGTAGGCCACTGGCTGCATGGAGGATGGATAAAGAGAATAAGGCGAGTACGGAGTCACCCAATGCAGGGCCTCCTTGACACTTAAAGTGATCGCAACGTATCAAAAGTCGCCGTTTAGGAGTTCGGTTACTGACGAGATAGGTCAACCTCCTTCGCAACCAGGGTAGGACTCTAATGGCTGTCTAATGTGGCCTTTATGACACAGCTCACTTCTCTGAAATTCGGAGGTCGTTTTTGAAGGTGGAAACGAGGTCGTGTGACATATAGGTGGGTTGTTCAGCACTGTTAGCCTCTACACCCATGTTCATGAATGGAGGCGAAAGCTTGAGTTCCAGGTGTTTGTATAAGTAACGAAGAGGACTGATCGAACTGCGGAGCAGCCTGTTTATTGTTCTGAGCTTTACAACTCGTGCAGGAGTCCGTCGTCAGAGATGGTAGTAGTAACATAACAACCAACAATTATACGATGTGCTAACCGCCCGTCGATCGATAGCTCGAGACTGTGCAGTGCTCTGCACGCCGGCGCCAGGTCGATAAATCAGCTGACTGAGTTCTCTTCCGAAGCCCGGTCTCCAATCAGTTCTTTGCCTGTTTTGTTTCCAGTGTGGGCGATTATCTTGTTGGCTGCGAAGTCCCATTTCATAGGTGTGGGCAACCACTTGCGATGCTTTGTCGCCTCGTCGCACAGCTGGCTTATGTACGTGTATGCGCGATCGGAGCATGCGTTCGGTCTGACCTGTGTAGTTTCAAGGACAGTTCAAGCACGCAATGCGATACACTGCTTCAGATTGCTTTTCGGGATTTAACCGGTCAGAAATTCTTACGACCCTGCCGCGCATGACGTCTTTGGACTGATGTAAAATCCCAACATCTTGTTCTGCAGCAGTGCGCTCGGCCGCTTCCAAAACGAAATATCACGAGTGGCTGCCCACACCTACGACATGGGACCTGAGTTGAACTTCGCAGTCACTACGGTAATCACCCACATCGGAAATAAAACAGGCCGGAAATTGATTGGGACCTGAGTCCCGGGTGAGAACGCAGTCAGTCGATTTATCGACCTGGCGCCGGCGTGCGGAGCTCTGCGCAGTCACCTCCAGTCTTGCGCCCTTGATCGATGATTGGCTAGCATGTTTTACAATTGTCGCTCGTTTTGTTGTTGTCATTACCTCTGGCAGTGGACTCCTGCACGGGCTCGAAAGCTAAGAATAAACAGGCTGTTCCGGTGCTCAACCAGTTTTCTTCACCCATGTCCATCTCCAGTCATATTTCGCCTTCTGTTGCCATCGAAACACGATAAGCTGAAAAAAATGAGGTAAGACAGGCACAATGCAAATACGCCTTTCACAGAATTGACCATTCCGTTTACCTTGCCGATTGACGATCAATGATCTTGCTTCCGTTTACTCACCATCGTTGCATTTTCACAAAGGATCATCTCAGACAGCATCATCTGCCTCCGTCGCCGTCGCCTCTGCTCGCCGGCACCCCCTCTGGTCCCTTCTTCTCTCCAGTCCCGTCGAAGGTGAGGCCGGTGAAACCCCCAACCCTGCCTATCCCCTGCCACCTTGGCAACCAGACACCCCGGCACGGCATCGCTCTATCAGTAATACCTGGGTCCTGACGGAAGTTCCGCCTCCACCCGCCACCACCACCTCCTCAACTGAGGACAGCGATGAAGGCGAGGACTCAGAAACTGAGCAGTCACGCCGCGGCGGCTGCGGCCGCGCGCGGTGGGCCACCGCCCCGGTTATCGGGAAGGAATGCGCCAGCTGCAAGGCCACCTTCACTCTGATTCGTCGTCGCCATCACTGTCGCCGGTGTGGCCACATCTTTTGCGGCTCCTGTTGCTGTCATTGGGTGCCCGTAGAGAGCTTGGGCTCACTGGCGCCGGTGAGAGTATGCAAAGAGTGTGCCGAGTTCGTACAGACCGGTCTCGCTGAAGTGCACATAAACGCTGCCAGCCCAGCCGAACAGCAATCCCTTCTCTGCCAGTGAGCATTGTGGCTATTCTGCTGTCTCCATTTCTCTCCCAGTGATACGGCGCTCTCCCGTGGACTCAAACATCTCGCCCACATTCGCCCTGCGGCTGTGATTCCTTCTGTTACTATTTAACGCACTGTGTTCGTTCATTTTCTCGTTACTTTTATGTATGCGAGGGAACGCAGAAAACTCCTCAGACTCCTGTTTAGTTCTGGTGATGAAGTAAATACTCAAGCAAAAACTTCCCCCCACCCCACTGTACCTTCGATTTTTTCAC